CCTGGTAGCTCGCGGTGGTAGCGCGCGTTACCGCTGGCAGCGACCGGCGAACCGCGACGACGGCATCCGCGCATCGACGACGATGACGGCGACGGGCGGAGACGAGGAGACGAGGACACGACTGCACCGCACGACGACGACAACGATTGTACTCCGGTTAGCTCGCTTCCCGCTGCTACCGCGCTGGCCCGTCCGCCTCTGCCTGCCTGCCTGCCTGCCTGCTGCTGTACCGCTGATTGTGCGCGCGCACCTTCGCGTACACGTACGTGTACGAGTCTGCTGTCCGTCTGTCTCTCTCCCTCTCCGTTTCGCGTGTGTCACGCGCGCTCGTGCGCGGCCCGATTACGTGTGTGCGCGTCGTCGCGTGTCCAAAGGCGGACGGCGAGGAGCGAGCGAGAGAGAGAAAGACAGACAGGGAGAAAGAGAGGGAGAGACCGGCGAAGAGCGAACGAAAGGTGGGACCGGGCTAACCGAGAAGGGGGACGAGGAAACGGGGAAAAGAGGGACGGAAAAAGGAGGAAAGAGAAGGAGAGAGAAAGAGAGAGAGAGAGAGAGGAAGCGAGAAACGCGGATAGAAAAGCGCGTAATCGGGCGGAGGGGCTTCCGGGGGGAGGGGGCCTTGGTCTATTCGAGATAGGGCGCGGAGTCTGGCGCGCGCGCTGTCAACGGTACCGCGGTCGCCGTTAGACTGCCGTGCCTAAATCGGGGAGGGCCGCGCACGCAGGCGCGCGCGCACGCGCCGCGCGGCCAACCTTGTGACCCACTACCCCCGTCGTCGCGTCGTTCGCCACCCCGGGGCCGGTTTCAAGAACGCGCGCGCGGTTTCGCGGTTTCTCCGCCCGGCGCCCTGAACCCGGTTTAGCGCGGCCCTCCACAATGAAGCTCGCCGCGCTTCTCCGAAATAGCCGCCACTTCATTCAAGTCCGATACCCGTACTTCATTCACCCCGCGACGCGGCGCGGAGCGAAGTTCCACGGTCCCCTCCCCCTCCCCCTCCCCCTCACCCCCCTGGGATTCAGCGCGACATTTTCCGATCCGTTGAGGCGCGTGTTTTCCTTCTTGCATTTCTTTTCTCGACGCCTCGTCCGATTTGCGGAACTAATCCGACCGAAAAGTCTCGCCGCCCTCAACTCGCAGGCGTCTTTGAACCATAGACTTGTACACCAGACTGCGCCATTCCCATGGACGCGCTGTCCTAAACATTAGAGTGCAGACATATCAAAAGAGTCATGATCTCTCTCTCGCTCGGCGTTAAGAGTGGGGAGAAAACAAACAAATTAGACAGAGACACAGTGACTCGGTTTAGCTTTTTCTCTCTTTCTATACCTCACGACCGACGCCTCCTACGGATGGCGCAGTCAATGGGTCTGTTTTTTATTGCTGCACTCCTGAACTAGTGCACACTGGTGCAATGAGTTGGAATGAGAGGTAATCTATTTGTTTCATTTTGACTTATTGCACTAGTTCAGTAGTGCAGTAATAAAGAACAGGCCTTAATATACAAGCCCTGGTCCACAATCCTGCTTTAAGTTCCTTACGGCTTAAGGCTTACAGCTTACTTAAAGCAAGATTGTAGATCAGGAGTCAGTCTATGCTTTGAACGCACATCGCCTCTCTCTCTCACGCTTTTTCCATGTCTTTTCGAGAACATTCAACGCGAAAGTTCAATCACGCGTCGCTTCTTATGTCGCGGCGTTTAAAAAAAAGTCCAAAAGAAGCCGCGCCGCGCCGACAGCCCGACGCGGCGTTGGAAGGGCGCGTGCAATTTCGACAAGTCGCAACCACCGGGGCCGAAAGTGACGCGACGGATTCGAATTTAAAAGGTCCGGGCGCCTCTCGGCGCGGATAGGCCGGGCCGCCATTACGCGAGCGCGATTCGACGGCGGGCGACGCGGCCGGCCGCGATTGGCGCTGCGCGCCACTCGCGCGGCGCGTCACTTCCGGGGGCGATCGGCGAGTCCGGGACGGGGAGGCGATCGCTGTGCCACCTCGACTCTCGCGATCTACGCTCGAACGATGTTGTTGTTGTTAGGTTAAGAGCGCACTTTCCCTTCCAGAGCGAGCGTACGATCGAACGCGCGTCAGGTCGCGAAAGGAACGGGCGACGATCGTACGAGATACCCCAGTGTCGCCAGCAGTTTCTCGTCTCTTTCTATTGATCAGGTTAGTACGTGCCTCCCTCCTCTCCCCCCCTGATATCCCGCTAACGCGACGAAACCCTACACGTCGATCCGCTTGTTTTCGCGGCCAAACGATCTCGCGAAACAGGTCGTCGTTTTTCTTTTCCGTGGACTTTAATCTTGTCGCTTTCCAGATAGCATTGTCGAAGAGGCGACGATCCAGCAGGA